CGGTAAGCACTCCGATATCTATTCATTTGTATTATTGTACAAACATCAAGATTTTAGAGGAGGATGACAATAATACAAAAAAAAAAAAATACAAATTCAAAATTTTTCCTTATGGAGAGATTGGATCAAGAATCAATTCAAAAAAGTTTCTTATAGGCATGTATTAAATTTATATTCTTCATAGATTATATTGTATGTTAAATTATACTAAATTTTAATTATTTTATTATATAGATGTTATTAGAATCATTAATGCCTCAGGGACCCAAATAGGGGATCCAAGGCATGAGACATGTGAGGTGTCACCATCCGGTTGCATGATGCACTATTCATGAACAGTGCATCATGCAACCGGATGGTGACACCTCACTTGTCTCATGCATTGGGTCCCTTATTTGGGTCCTTGTAACAACACCCTATTAGAATACTTGATGAAATTTATGCGATTGATAGCATAGACATGAATGGAAAAAAAGTTTATTTAGAAGCTGCACAATGCATGATAATGAGTAAGTTACAATTTTATTATTATTTATATGAAAAATATAGAAATATATCTTATAACATAAATTAAATATATATTTTATTCTTTTATCAGGTTCAACACCATAGCTATCACTTCGTGGGAAGATTTAGTATGTGCTCTAGAAGAAAAACTAAAATGGGTGAGTCAAAGCTCAATTGTTATTATTGTGACTGGTTTATTATACTCTAGATTCAGAGGTATGAATTATGTATGTGTGTGTGTAAATTAATTATAAACTTGCTATAATTAAATATATACATAATATTATATATTTTCTAAATTATTATATTTATATTCATTTTCTTTTCACAGTGAAAAGATTAACAAGACTTTCGTCCATGTATGCTACAAAGTTTTATATAAACTTGAGTGATAATAAAAATGTTGTTCAAACTTAAGGGTATTTTGTAACTTTTTGTGAAATACTATAATTCTATTTTCATAAAATTTATTCAGAATTAACATTATAAGTAATTATTTTACTTATCTTTTTTCTTAGTTCTATTGATGCACAAACTTAATACCAAAACTTTGAGACAGGAACAAGACCGTTATCCACACAAGTCAAGTTTGAAATTGATGATGGTATAATTGATAATATTTTTGAAGTAAAGGAATTGAACAATGACGATGCACGTGAATTTTAAATTATTTTAGCATTGAATTATTTGCTAAAATTTATATATATGTAATTATAGTTTTTAACACTATATGTATATAAAAAACAGGATGTAATGACAAGAACTGTCTTATTATTTCACAGTATACTTGGTACATTTTATTTAAATCACTGAAATGATATATACAAAATTCAAATTAAACTTAAATTATAATACAATGACTATATAAATACATGACATAGAACTTCAAAGATTAATACTTTAATTCATTGATCATGCACTTTAATTTTTTGTTGGATTTTTTATAATTCACCTAATGATGAATATATTGCTTATCTATACATTTTTTAGGAGAAACATTTCTTTTGCAATGCTCAAATTATGGGAATTGAGAAAAATGTCGAATTGACGATATCCTTCTCATGCTAATTGTAATAATAAATTGAAAGAGATCAATGGGGTTCTTTACTACAATCTTCATACAAATGAAATCAAGTACGTAGAAGAAATGTAAATAGAATATTATAAATTGTATAAATATAAATTATTTGTAGTTTAGAAAATTAAATTGAATGAACAATATATTGAATATATAATTTAACTTTAGATACAAACTTATCTTACAATGATGAATGAAACAAGCATCATTACATTTGTAATATTCCATCACGATGTTCTTCGTTTAATAAAAATTGGTCCTTTAGAATTAGCAACTTTGCTGGGTTTTGTAAATTATATCAAAATTAAATTAAAGTTTTAAGACGTTTTCAATTTAATTGATGAAATTAAATTTTATTTTTATATTTTCTTAAACTGTATTCAAAAAAATAAGGAGATTCCATTTGCTATCAAGAGATTAATCGGTAGAAATATGTGTTTCCATGTTAAGGTTATATAATTTAACATAAATAAATGCACTGAAGGCTACACGATTATAAATAGTTGATGATGATGTGAACGATGAAAAACTCAACGGGTTGTTACTGCTAATTGATGGAAAGATAACATTTCGATAATCTTTTTAATAACATTATATTCCACAGTTTTATGTATTTATTGTTCCAATACTAAATTTATTTTTATTAAAGGATGAAAAAAATCACTTGATAAGACGCTGGTTGATGGCGATGATAGCCAACCAATTGAATATACTCTAAACTTATCAATACCTGGAAATACTTCTGATAAAAATTCTAAGAAGAAGGTATTTTTTAAATTAGTTTCTAATATTTGTTTCTTTATTTCAAAAATTAAATCATGTTTATGTTATTCTAAGACAAATATATTACTATCATAAGATGAGAAACCAATTGAATTATAGTACCATTGATAATTAATTTGTTGACTTAACTTATCGACACCGATATCCACTACTAATAACAAAGGCAAAAAGAAGATTTTAGATGTATTACCTATTGCTACGCTCGACTCTTCTGCATTTAAAATCCTACCTCAAACCAGTGTAAAAATAAGGATACAATCAGGTTGGCTTACTTATACATTAATTGATTTTAGTATATAAAATTTTTTAATATTAAAATTAATAAATAAATATATTTTTTATTTTGCAGAAATGGATAAAGAACTAGCTCTTTCAACCTTGAAAAAGAGCATTAAGATGGAGAAAAAAATAATTGGAAATTGTTGATGTCTGAAATCAAACAGTCAAATAAAAGGATTGATTAAGTCGACGGAGGTCCTCTAACCCTCATAATGTCTAGTTCTTGAGTAAGCTATTCTTCTCTGCACAAGTAGCAAATCATAAGAGGGTGAGGTTGAGTTCCTTGGTTGTTCCTCTGACGATCAAGTCGGTGAGTTGCTTGAGTGGAGAAGTAAAAATGAACTGCAGCAGTTCTTAAACATAGTGAGTAGTAGTCAAGAACTTACCCTGTTATTAAAAATAGCATCTCTATTTATAGTAGTGGTAGAATGGTAGCTTTGACCGAGTATAAGATGACCACCATGTCAGCCTTAGCTTTACAGTTGTCGGCTGATGAGTGGAGAAAGGATCACTTTGGTATTTAATGCGAAGTGATTGAGGGTGTGCAGTGCCAACGTGGTTCGATGTGTCACTATTGGGGGAAGAGGAATAATGACGTCAATATGCATTTAATAATATTTATTGCGTGGTGATTGGTCACAAGTGCACAGGAGGAGGGTCGAAGCATTTCATCGCCTTTCTACTCGTCTGGTGGTCGAGAAGTACCGCCTTTTGAGTCACCTCCTAAGGTGTCGGCTGATTAGTCGACCGAGTGGAGTGATTAAGCAGTCCACTTAGCTAGAGAATGACAAGTAACGCCTTGTCGGCTGGTCTGGTCGGCTGAGTCGGACTTCTAGCTGATCTCTGGCTATCTCTCCCGTCGGTCGAGATGTCGACTCGTCTGGGAAGTCAGGATGCCTCGTGCCGATTAGCACCGCTCCTCGTGTCGACACTGGGGTGTCGGCTTGTTTGGCTGGATGGAGATGGAGACTCATCAGATCATATATTTGGAAACAGTTGTACCCCATAACATTTTTGGAGATGCATCATTTGTGAATAATATTTTTTAAACAATGAACTGGCTTATATCTTAGTTTCATTCAAGTTGCATTTAGGTACATTTTGATAATATTCATTTTATTCATTTATTATGAAAAAAGTTAGAAAAAATTAGTTTAAATTATCTTAATTCTAATTATAGCTTTATATAAGTTGTTCAATATCATTATTTCCAAGCGGGGACATGTTCTCTAAACTCATGGGGGGTGGGGGAGGGTGTGTTTTGAAGGGAGTCAAGTCATTAGATCTTTTAAATTGTATTCGGATAAGAGTAATTGAAACATGACAAAATATCGATGAATTGCGATAAGACCGTGACTAAAATACTAAAATACTAGCAGTTTTTTAAAGGAAGGTTTTAAGGACTTGGTGCCAACATTTCATACAAAGACAAACACCACCTCGTCTTACCGGGCAAAACACTTTGCCACGAACTATCTTCAGCACAGTATAGAACGCTCCTCCAGTAAACAATACAACGAAATAAGTTGAATATATATTTTCTGTAAGTGATAACTTAAGTTCTTTGGGCTTATGCTTTTAACAATAAAAATTGAGAAAATTAGATCAACTAATTAAAGGATGAGAGGATCTCAAGCAATTAAAAATGTTGGATTCACATTGACATTCAATTTTCCTTGGATTCACATTAATTATTGACCCTTAGTGATAAATTATATCACATCGCATAGTAAGTAGAAGTATTAGCTTTCATATATGTCCTTTCAACGCATCCAAGAATTGTGACCTTCATACTTACTCCCTCCCTCCTTTCTCTACCTATTTATTTTCCTGTATAGTACACATCAAATTAAGGAAAAAAGAATACCAAAAACATGACAAAATAGAAACATAATAGACAGAGAACCACAAAGGCATACTATTATGTCTTCAAAATACATCAAAAAACGCAGCTATATCCATGATAGACCTTACGGAGTTGAAGAAAGACGCCAAATAATGCGATTAGGTTAATTAAAATGATTTTGAAAATGCTAAATTTTGAAAAACGACCGTATTTCGAATTTAATGAGCAAAAGCGACCGCTTAACAGAAAAATTATAGAGAGAGGAAACACTGCAAGAGTTGGAGTAAGGATTCTATTAGAACACCATGTGGAAAAACTTGATCTATACCATTCACATGTTTAAAAAAAAGCCGGCAACCATGTTATTATTATTTTAGTGGTATTGTATCGATTAGTATCTAAGGGTGCGTTTGGTTGTGGGACTGGGAGCTCGAAAGCTGCCACGGCAGTCCCATCCGTGACAGCTTTCGGAGAAAAACGCCTCTTTTAGAGGCGTTTTTGCTCGAAAGCTGCCACGGATGGGACTGCCGTGGCAACTTTCGGGCACTTTCCCACCTAAAAACCGAGAAACAAACGCGCCCTAAGTTGCTCAGGCCGAGCATGTAGGCTTATGTTCGTACTACGAGCTACTCGTGATTATTTCAATCTTTGTCATCCGTTTTATTGAATACACGTGGATCCAAAAGGAGCTCACCCGATGTCCTCTCTTCCATCCATCGCCCAAACCCATCCCTCCTCCAACCTGCAGGCTCTCTTCTTCTCTTCTGCCGATGCTGTCGATTTCATCAATTCCTGTGGCGGCCGAAGAGACCTCAAGCTCGTCACCTCTCTCCACGGCGCCATTGCGAAATCTGGCCTCCTAAGCTCCAACCTCTGCGTTGCCAACTCCCTCCTCGATGCCTATGCAAAATGCGGCAGCCTGGTCTGCGCTCGCAAGGTGTTTGATCAAATGCCTAAAAAAGATATCATCTCTTGGGCATCTTTGATTTATGTCGATAGCTCGCTTTTAGCTGCTAACTTCTGCTTTTGATTGTGCACTGTTTCTCCCAAACGTGCCGCTTTCACAAGAGCACTATTTCGGATATATTGGTGGTCCTGACCCGAATGAACTATTCAGTCTTCAGAACAGGATTCCATTGTGTACTTTTCCTGATTCGGAAAGAGCGGAAATGATTAAATTCCCTCAATGCTCTACTCTCATGATTTTGATAACTGACTTGGACTTGGAGACCCCTGTTGGTCATGCCCAGTTTCCCAAACCAGCATTCATATTTGGAGATCGCATACCAGTCGATGACCATCTCACATATGTGGAAGATTCGAAGCTGCTATGGAGAGCTGATAATCGCTTCTTATTCCTCCCAAACATGAAGAGGATGTACCCTCTCTCCTACTTTTTGAATGTGAGCTGCCGTCGGGGTTTGACCTTCGACATAGTAAAGGAGAAGGAGAACGTGTCGCTTGGATTTGGTCGACGGGCTCGTACACAAATCGGGGAACAACTCAAGGGGTTAAAACCTGGTTTGTTTGAGAAGAAAGAGCTGGTTCCGGAGGTGCCACGTCCAGCGAACATTTTTATCCGCCAATTCCTTGCAACTCAGGGTGAATTCTCTACCCAGACGTTTAGGTCCCCTGGATGGGTCTGTTCTGGCGAAGGAGGTTGGTGGACCCACATGGTTGACTTTGTTCTTGAAGAGCTTAAGGACTCGCTCGCTCAATCGGGTCTCACAGTTCCTGTGTTAGCTACACGACGGGGAGTCGTGCAGAGTCTTCATAATTTCTTCGCTATGTTGGAGAAATATAACCCTGACAGCTGCACATTCTTCACGCCTGCTGGAGAGTTAGGTTTTGCTCTTCATGAAATGCAGGCAGTGTCGGGGCTGTCGCTTGGAAAAATGCCCTACGAGGGGTTTATCCCCACTACCGAGGAGCTTTCCTTACTGAAGGCGGCGCACCCGGAAATTTACGCTACTTTTTGGGAATTGATGTGCCACTTCCACATATGTGCCCAAGTCTTTGGGATGCGTGGAGGGGGCATTATGCATACCACATGGGCAGACTACCTCTTTCAAAACTTAAACCGGAAAGATGTAGCCGTATCCCGTGTCGCAGTTGTCTCACTTAAGGACGCCAAGGCTCGGATTAAGGCTCCTGGTGCTACTTATAAGACAGAGCATGCCGAGGATGATTTTGAAGCTGGTGTCGAATTTGAAAGTTTCCACTACCAAGCCACAGTTCCTATCTCTGACACGGCTCTACTTGCAGGCTTCTTCATGATTTGGTTGAAGCGGTGTGTAGTACCGTCAAGACCGACCAATAGAAGCAATATTAGCTGAGGTTGTGTACCCAGTTGTTTTGCTAGCGTATGGGAGACCTGTGAGTCTCCTTACTGCTATGGTTGGCTGTATCCAGAACGGCCTGAGGGTATTGACTTCAGAACTTCTCAGTGCTTCGGGAGTCAAAGCTACTAAGAAGAAAGCTGGGAAAGCTCCTCAACCACGTGTTCCAGTGCCGTATACATATCTAGTGGCCTGGTTCGTGTTGCATTGCCCTTCCTTGATGACGGGAGTGCATGAAGGGGATGATGCTTATACTCCCTTCGTACAAAGATTGGAGTCGGCCACGTGGACTAGTTCTTATATAGTCAGGGCTCGACAGCTTCTATCCCGGGAAGATAATTACCGGGTTTTCTGCTGTGCTCCTAACTTTGACGGAGCTGATGTGGAGGATGCCCGCTTCATGGACTTGCTTTTTGAAGGCTCATCTTCTTTGGAAGAGGGTACATTCAGCTGGCTTCTTATGATCAGGTTGGGCTACCTGGTCTATCGCTCGCGAGAGAAGTGCGTAATCGAACCTTACCTGCCTTCTCGGTTCGCCAGACAGTTTGGATACGAACAACTCTATGTTGGCAATCCTAACCCGGCGTTAGCTCAGATTGGGAAGTTGTATGAAGGAGCTCGTGCATGGTACTTCTTCACCGCCGGGGGAACCCATGCGCAATTCACTTTACCCAACTCACCACCCGGCTGCTCTACTGTTATGGATTTCCGCCAGTGGTTTGTTGAAGCTTCTCAAATTCCGAAATATGACGTTTATACTTCATGTATAAACGAGATTCGGGAATTGTACCGTTCACGGAGTGGTTCTACGAGTACTCGTCTGCCAGGGATGGAAGAGTACCTATCTTGTGAACA